GGCTTCAAGTGATGCTCCTGCCAAAGCCTCCATATGCTGGGATTATAGGCATGAGCCGCCTTGCCCAGCCTCCAAAATGTTTTTTTAACATCTGTACAGTTCATAAATTATTCACATTCTATTTGTGTTTGACGGGACGGTTTTAGAGCAATAGTCATAAGGTGGGCAAATATGAGCGAGGATAAAAATTTACAAAATGAAAATTGATTCCTGTATTCTGAATGCTTTCATTTTAATAATTTGTTCTTTTATAGCAGAGAAGGCATTTAGCATTCACCAAAAATGCAGAGTACATAGAAGTATTTTGTAGTTTTCTCTCAGTGTCTTCTGAATAGTTTTCTAAATGATATTTGGTTCCTCCCATTTGATTAATCTGATACTTGGATTAATAGCTTTTTAACTTAAATATAATTAATCCTACTTATTTATAATTTATTGATACTATCAGTATATTAGGAACTATACATTGCTTCAAATTGCAGTGACTATTACGTCTCCCAAGAGTTTACTTTCTACATTTTTTTCACATTTATTTTTATTTAGAGATAACTAAAATAATAGCATATAATAGAAGTAACATAAATATTAAAATTAACCTTAATGAGCCAACTTTATGCATATTTACTAACGGTTTCTGTGACAAATGTAACTATGTTTTGTGTGCATAGAAACAATGTGGAGTAATTAATACCAAAATGTATATTCTGGTGTAGGTCATGGGACTTAGGTCTTAATTTCGTTTTTTTGCCTTTGGTATGCAGTGCTAGTTTCCAGATACCACCAACTGTTTTTACAGTGACTCTTTTTAGAGACTGTTTCTTTCTTCCTCTATAAAAACATGAATATATCATCAACATCATTAGTCACAAGGCAAATGCAAAATAAAACTACATTTCGCACCTTCCTGAATGGCTAAAATAGAGACAAATAAACAATTGGTGAGGATGCGCAAAAGCAGGAACTTTCATACAGTGCTGGTGGAAATGTAAGATGGTGCAACCACTTTAGAAAACAGTTTGGTTGTTTCTTAAAAAGTTAAACATAAATTTTCCATATGCCTCAGCAATTCTACTCCTAGGTTATAATTACCCAAGAGAAAGAAATATGTCCACACAAAGACTTGAACACAAGCGTTCTTGGCAGCTTTATTCATAATAGCCTGAAACTGGAAGCAATCTAAGAAGCATCCATCAACTGGTGAATAGATAGATAAAATGAAGTATAGCCCGACAGTGAAATATTACTCAACAATAAAAAGAAATGAAGCACTGATACCAGTAGCTACAGCAGGGACAAGTCTCAAAAGTATGCTAAGGGAAAGAAGCAAGACACCAGAGTCTACATATTATATGATTCTCTATATATAAAATGTCCAGAAAAGGCAAATCTATAGAGATAGATTAGTGCTTGGGACAAAAGATGGGAATGACAATGACAATGAACAGTAAATGGGCATCGGGATCTAATTGAGATGATGAAAATGTTTCAAAATTGTTTTATGGTAATGGTTCCACAATTTGGTAATTTACTAAAAATCATTGAATTGTGTACCTGGAATGGATAAATAAGGATATGTAAAATATGCCCCAATAAATTATAAAGAAATATATTGTCAAATACAGCCCACAGTGTATCAAAAGGATACACTATGACCAGAAAGGTCTTTTTCCAGGAATACTAGAATGATTGTTAAGAAATCTATGAAGGGGCTGTAAATCTATATATCACGCCTGTAATCCCAGCACTGTGGGAGGCCACGGTGGGAGGATCACTTGAGGTCAGGAGCTCAAGACCAGCATGGCCAACATGGTGAAACCCCATCTCTACTAAAAATACAAAAATTAGATGGGTGAGGTGGTATACGCCTGTAATCCCAGCTATTCAGGAAACTGAGGCAGGAGAATTGCTTGAACATGGGAGGCAGAGGTTGCAGTGAGCTGAGATCGTGCCACTACACTCCAGCCTGGGCAACAGTGAGACCCCTGTCTCAAAAAAAAAAATCTATGAAAATCTGTATTATCTTTATTGAATATAATAAAGGTAGATTACTAAATGTTACAGCAACTATTATCCTAAATAATGAAACACTAAAACCGGATCAATTCAAACAAGAAACAAAATACTCTACATCAGCCTAATTATTTAACATTCTTTAGGCTTTCCTTCCTTAGAAGCAATTGCAATAATAAAATAGTTGCCACATGCCTGTAATCCCAGCACTCAAGGTCAAGAGATTGAGACTATCCTGGCCAACACGGTGAAACCGCAAATCATCAACATCATTAGTCAATGATACAAAAAAATTAGCCGGAGGTGGTGGCGCACGCTTGTAGTCCCAGCTACTCGGGAGGCTGAAGCCAGATAATTGCTTGAACCTGGGAATCAGAGGTTACACTGAGCTGAGATTGTGTCACTGCACTCCAGCCTGGTGAGGGACCAAGACTCCATCTCAAAAATAAATAAATAAATAAAATAGTTGGCATACACGTTAGAAAGAGATATACAACTATCCCTATTTGTTGACAGTTATGATTATTTGCATAACATGTAGTAGAGCTTAATAAGGGAATTTGGTAAAGTAGTAGGTTAATATAAGTGTAATCAGGAGATTTTCTCTCCTTCAAAACATATATGACATAAACTTTTAAAATCTATTCCCAATAGCAGTGAAGATAATAAAATATATAGAAATATATGTAATAAAGAAAGGTATAATATATAGAAAGCTATACAACAAATGGAAAGGCTTCTTCAACAGAAAGGCTTAATATAAAAATGTCAGTTCTTCAAAAATTAATTAATTAATTTAATGTCATTCTTATTAGAATTCCAAGCAAATCTGGATAAATTTGTTGTAAGTTTATGTGAAAAATAGAGGCACAAAAATAGCCAAGAAAACTATGAAAGTTAACAGTGAGGGAAAACTTAACAATATCGAGTATCAGAATATACTATAAAGACACTGTAATAAAATATGCTATTTAGAAATAGGAATAGACAAATCGATCAATAGGACAGAATAAAGAATCAAAAAACAAATCTCATATAGCTTGAGATCAATTTGTGAGAATGTAATGTATGACCAAGATTCAGTTCAGTTGAAAATGGGAGGGGGATATTTAATAAGTAGTACAGAACTAGCTATTGATCTTAAAGAAAATAAAAATCCTCCTCCACTCATACTCTTTAAAAATTAATTTCAAAAAAATGAAATGGATTTTCATTTCACATGGATCAATAGCCTAAATGAGAGAAAGCAATAAAATCTTGCTAGATGATCCAGGAGACTTCATCCACAAACTGAAACAAAACGACTTTCTAACCAGGACTATGAAAAGAAAGATATATATTTGATGACCTAAAAATGAAAATTATTTGTATAGCAAAAGTATTATGAAACAACCTTAATAGACAAATGATTAAAAATCTAGAAAAATATAGTTGAAAAATAAAAGATTAGTGCGTGTCATATAAGGAACTCTTGCAAATTTTTAATCAAAAGATAGTAGAAAAAAGGAGGCAGATAAAGGAAGGAAAAAAGTGCAAATATCCAAATTATTTGAAAATGCTTATATTCACTTAGGAAAATTCAAATTAAAGGAAAAATGTGATATCATTGACAAAAAGAGCTAAAACACTTATTCCTGGCAGGAATGTCATGCTGTTGTGCTCTTACACATGGCTGACGAAATGTGTCACTTTGGAAAATAATCTGACAACATTTATCATACAGACACACACAAATACACATATATGTGCAAATGCATACATACATATACACTTTGACCCACCTGAAGTCAATTCAGTTCTTAGAAGTCTGTCCTGTAAAGGTAAAAATTAATACATAAGGACATACATACTCGACTTGTTTTTAGTAGCAGAAAAGAGTATATTTACATATTCGTGTGTGTGTGTGTGTACACGTATATACATATATATACACACACACATACATGTGAATATGTGTCTGTATATACTGAAACAAAATTAATGTCCATGATAAGGAAATGGCTAAAAAACTAGCATATCTATATAGTATGGAGTATTATTCAGTTATTAAAAAGAATAAATCAGAACTGTACCTATTCAGAAGACCTGGAGAAATTTTCATGAGATAATGTTGAACAAAGATGGTAAGATGCAGCAAAGCATATAATAAGACAATTAGTAAAAGAGAAAACTAAAAATTATTACATATATTTATGTTATACGTATAAATGTATGAGAATTATGTCAGCAGAGGATTGCATGAATATGAAGAAAATATGAAAGGCTGCATACCAAGTTGTTTATAAGGCAGGGAAGAATTACAGGATGGGGAGGGGCGATGGAGAACCAAGCACCAAAGGAAAAGACTTTTATTTTTAAGTCTTTTTTTAATTTAATTGCCAATGTGATTGTATTTTCATTTTATTTTTAAAAAGAATTTCATATTTTAAAAGACAAGTTGTAATCGTTTTGTGCATTTACATAAAATTAGATTTAATGACACACAAGGGATTTTAATGTTTTTAGAACAGTCACTGTTAGTTCTTTGCCCTTGAGAAATTTGTAACTTTTGTTTTTGCAGTTGTTAGTGGAATTGTTTAGAAAAGTCAAGTGAACACAGTATAATTAGTCAACTCCCACTTATAATTATTCTTCAATTAGAATTATTTCTGATTTTAAAAGTAAAATTATTTATTTTGGAAAATCTAGAAATTATAGAAAAGTAGTAAAAAAACTTTTTATTTAAGAAGTACCAGTGTTCCCACTACCCACAGATAAGCACTACAGTACTAAGATTTTAGAATATACCATTTATGCTACTCGTGTTTTGTTTTTCAATGAAATTTAAAATGTAAATCCTGTAAATGTTGCATATTTTAGTTTAAAATATGTGCCTATACTTGAATTTTTAAAAAATATGTAAAATCCATTTGAGAACGATGTCATTTTTTTTCTGTAAACCCCACCGATTGCTTAGTCATTCAGTATGCATACCCACTCTTCTTTCCTAGTTTCTGGCAGACATGGAAAATAATGCACTTTTCCGGGATGATATAGAATGTCAGAAACTCATTATGGAAGCAATGAAGTACCATTTATTACCAGAGAGAAGACCCATGTTACAGAGTCCTCGGACAAAACCTAGGAAGTCAACTGTTGGTACATTATTTGCAGTTGGGGGAATGGATTCAACAAAAGGTATCAAATAATCTTTTATTTGGGGGAGGGAGGAACAGAGAAAAAGATATTTTAATAAGTACATATATGGCCAAAGAACTCATTGGAGAAATGGCTGGTTGCAGGACAGAGGCAGAAAAAGTACCAGATAATTCTGTAACATCCTCTAGACCACAAAGTAAGGAAATGCTCAAAGAATGATGGAGACAGGTCAAAAGACAGAGGAAAAAGCTTGTAGGGCCTACTACTGTCCAACTCTGGGATAATTTGAGCATCAAAATAAATGATAGTAAAAGATTATATCCTATGAAATCATTAAGTGTCCATGGTTCCACATCAATACAAATAAACAAGGGAAAAAGAAAAGCTCTTCCTTACAGTAGAGTGCCAAGGAATGAATATAGAAGGAAAGATGAGATTACAAAAGTTACCATTTAGTAACCACCAATAACCAATTTAGCCAAGAATTATCAGTGGATGCTGAGACTAGTGGGAAAAGTTTGAGAACAGGATGCTTAGTCTAAAAGTGTCTCTCAGCCACATGTTTACTAGTTACAAAGAGTAAAATAGTATATTTACAGTAGAAAAACCTGGCGCACAGCACTTAACCAAATGATCAAAGATAATGTTGACAGAAATCAGACTAAGCAGCAGCATTGTGCAGGAGAGGATGCATGGAAAACTCAGCCACCCATCTATGCTGTTCAAGAGTGTATAACCTGAATCTAATATTGAGGAAACAAATCTAAGTTGACAGTCTACAAAATAACTTATCTGTATATAGTATTCAAAAATGTCAATGTCATGAAGTACAAAGAAGAGTCAGAAATTGTTCCAGATTATAAGAGACTAAAGAGACATGACAGCTATTATAATGCATCCTCTTGGATTTTCTTTTGCTGTAAAGTATATAACTGAGACAAATGACAAAATCCAAGTAAGGTCTGTAGATTAGATAATAGTGTTGTATAAATGTTAATTTCAGGCTGGGTATGGTAGGTCATACCTGCAATCCCAGCATATTGGGAGGCTGGGGCGGGCAGATCACTTAAGGTCAGGAGTTCGATAGAACCTGGGCAATATGGTGAAACCCCATCTCTACCAAAAATACAAAAAAATTAGCCTGGCATGGTGGCGGATGCCTGTAGTCCTAGCTACACTTGGGAGGCTGAGGTAAAAGTTAATTTCCAGATTTTGATTATTATATTTTGGTCTTATAAGAAGATAATTTGTCATTTTGAGGAAGATACACTGAGTATTAGGGGTATAATGGCATCATTTCTGCAACTTACCGGTTTTTGTTTTTGTTTTTGAGATGGAGTCTTGTTCTGTCACCCACGCTGGACTGCAGTGATGCAATCTCAGCTCACTGCAACCTCTGCCTCCTGTGTTCAGACAATTCTCCTGCCTCAGCCTCCCAAGTAGCTGGGACTATACAGGCCCATGCCACTACACATGCCTGACTAAGTTTTGTTTTTTTAGTAGAGATGGGATTTCACCATGTTGGCCAGGCTGGTCTCAAACTCTTGACCTCAAGTGATCTGTCTGCCTCGACCTCCCAAAATGCTGGGATCACAGCTATGAGCCAGCACACCGGGCCACAACTTACTCTTAAAACAGTTTAGGGGGGAAAAAACCCTACATAGTAAATACAGTAAAAAGTAAACATTTGGGTGATCTGGGTCAAAGGTATCTAAGAATTCTTTGTACCGCACTAACAACAGTTATTATTAATATTAAAAATAGGCCGTGATTACACCTGTAATCTCAGCCCTTTGGGAGGCCAAGGTGGGCCGATCACTTGAGGTTGGGAGATCAAGACCAGCCTGGCTAACATGATGAAACCTTGTCTTTACTAAAAGATACCAAAAAACAAACAAACAAAAAACCTAGCCAGGCATGGTGGCAAGTGCCTGTAATGCCAGCTACTCAGGAAGCTAAGTCAGGAGAATCGCTTGTACCCAGGAGGCAGAGGTTGCAGTGAACTGAAATCATATGTACCACTGCGCTCCAGCCTGGGCAACAAAGCAAGACTCTGTCTCAAAAAAATAATAATAGTTAAAAATAATAGCAACAAACACTGCACAGTGCCTGCTGGGTGCCAATATTATGCTAGAAGCTTTCTGTGTATTAGCCCTTAATATGCATTGATCTCCCCTTTCTTTGAATTCCTACTACTTGCAGTCTGCAATCTCTTAGAATCTCTCTCTGACTTCTGGCTACCTCTCTGATGTAAGCTTATTCTATTAAAACTTCTTCCCTTACTGATGCTTTTATTCCAACCCCATCAGCCTTTTCATTAATCTAACAGGCCATTTTATCCATATCCAGGATATTGCTTTAGCTGATCCTCTCACTGGCATGGTCTGGCCCCGGATATTGAAGTGCCTAGCAGAAATTATTCACTCAAATCTCTCAAATGTCAATTTACCAAGGAGGCCTTCTGTGACCATTCAATAGCAGCCTCCTGCCTGTCACTTTCTAACCCGAATAATCATAATGCTATTTATTTGTAGATGCTTAAGTTTTAGACATAGGCTTGATGACTGCATGGTACAGAAATAAGATAACTGATTAGGGATATTTCAACATTCTATTGTTTAGATAATCTGCAAATTCTTATTAAGTATCGTCTATGTACCTGGAACTGGTGCTAGCTTTTATAGTCATTACTAGCACTCTTCTTCCCCTTCTACCTTTTTCTCTCATTTTTAAGGCTTTAATTGTTAACTCTGTATTTATCTATAATACCTTCACTTTGATTTTTTTCTCATTTTTCCAACTTGTATAAAATATTTATTTGGTGCTCAGCTTTTAACTCGAATTTGGTACATGGAAAGGCAATCTTTTCAGCTTTCTGGGAGATGGGTTCCTGCTTCCCATCAAGGCTCATACATACAATGGAAAATTCCCCAAGCATGGGAAGGGGACTAGATACTAGGTACCAAAAGTAAGCAAGTCTTATTCTCTCTCTCAAACCTTAAATTCTGACAGCTGTCAGGTCTTTCTTCAAATGGGTCTTATGTCTAATTCTTATAAATTTCTGCTGCCATCCTTCTAATTCCAGTTAGCCTTCTGTCAGCCTACATATTTTGGTCATGTTAATTTAGAGAGAATGGCATTCATTATGTTGTTAATATGTGGCAGGCATTATGCTAAGCACTTAGACTATATTATTTCATTTCATCTTCATAACAGTTCTCTGTTATAGATAGGGAAACTAGGACTTGGAGAACTGAAGTAACTTTCCAAAGATCACACAATTGATGAGTGATAGGATCAAGATTCAAACAGACATTTTGGCTTTGGAGATGATACTCTATTCCATTAACTCTTCAGTGAACATGCAATTATTGTGCTAAAAAAATCCAGCAGTCTTTATTTCTTATCATATAAGATATAGATGCCTCATTCTGGCTTTTAAGACTTTCTCTAATCTGGCCCTTCTGTTTGACCAACTTTATTTTCTGACCTGTTCAAGCTATCTGGCTGGTCCTAATTTATCTTATTTCCAATATCTTTATAAGGAAGAGCAGTTTGTCTTAGTCAGATGGTAGTCTGACCATTGGGCTTTTGGTCCCTTCATCTGTCTGTTTAGTATAGGGCCGAACAAATAAGCTAATAATAATGGCTCCAAACAGCCACTAAGAAAATGTTAGAGTATATTTGTGCTTGCTTGTATAAAAGGTTAATTCTTCGGTATAAATTAAGGATGTCCCAAGCGTTTACATAGAATTTTACAATTATTAGGATTTTTAAAATTTTGAATATTCAGATTTAAATATATACCTGAGACAATATTTTAATATTTTTATGTTTAAAATTAGCAAAATAACTTTTAGTTGCCAATTCATACAACTATGATACTGCTTAGTAAACTAGATCTAAAAGAAATAAAATTCAAAAGAAAAATATTTCCTAAATGTGTTCTTGAAGAAAGACGATTAGCTTTTTATTTGTTGGAGGGAATTTTCTAATTTCATTTGATTTATTTGGAGGGAATTTTCTGATTTCATTTGATTTATTTGATGGAAGGAAGAATATTTTAAGATCAAATTTAGAGTAATTAATCAAATATACTATTATATCAAATAATGTAAGTATATAAGTAAAAAAACCTCACTATGGCTAAAACTATGAAGAAAAATTATTCAAATATATTTTTGAACAGCTATAGTATGTATAAGGGACTCTGTGTGGTGCTGCGAAAAATACATAGGTGAAGGCCAAGCAAAGTGGCTCATGCCTGTAATCCCAGTACTCTGGAAGGCCAAGGCAGGAGGATCACTTGGGGCCAGGAGTTCAAGACCAGCCAAGCCTATATAGCAAAATCCTGTCTCTACTAAAAATACAAATTATTAGTTGTGATTGGTGGTGCATACCTGTAATCCCAGCTACTTGGGAGGCTGAGAAACAAGAATTGCCTGAACTTGGGAGGTGGAGGTTGTGGTAAGCCAAGATCATACTACTGCACTCCATCCTTGGTGAAAGAGCAACACTCTGTCTCAAAAAAATATAAATAAATATAATAAATATATATTATATAACTATATATGTATATATAATTTATAAATATATTAAATATATAAACACAAATATAAAATATTTACATTTATATTTCTGTTTGTTTTATATATTTATAGCTATATAAATATGTTTACATTTAAATACACACACACACACATATATATGTATATCCAAAATAATAGTTATCCCAAATAATTTTGCATTCGTAGGGTAAATAAAAAATGATAAAAACTGTAACATGAGAAACTGTATATATATAACAAAACTATTTCTAAGTTTTAGGAAATGATCAATAATACTAGTGCGCTGATGACCAAATTATAACAAACACTTTAGAATAAGTGTTAGTCATGATTATAATTCTGTAAAGCTAGCACTGCTTACATGTTGTATTAGAAGCTTAGAAGAGAGAAATGGGTTGTATGTAGTTGAACTCTTCACAATTGGAGGTTGGGTATTTTTTATTGCATTTTAGGTTTTGGGGTACATGTGCAGAACATGCAAGACAGTTACATAGGTACACACATGGCAGTGTGTTTTGCTTCCTTTCTCCCCTTCACCCACATTTGGCATTTCTCCCCAGGCTATCCCTCCCAAGCTCCCCCTCCCGCTAGCCCTCCCCTTTTCCCCCCAGTAGACCCCAGTGTTTAGTACTTCCCTCCCTGTGTCCATGTGTTCTCATTTTTCATCACCCGCCTATGACTGAGAATATGCGGTATTTCATTTTCTGGTCTTGTGTCAGTTTGCTGAGAATGATGTTCTCCAGATTCATCCATGTCCCTACAAACTGACACAAACTCATCATTTCTGATTGCTGCATAATATTCCATGGTGTATATGTGCCACATTTTCCCAATCCAGTCTGTCATCAATGGGCATTTGGGTTGGTTCCAGGTCTTTGCTATTGTAAACAGTGCTGCAGTGAACATTCGTGTGCATGTGTCCTTATAGTAGAACGATTTATAGTCCTTTGGATATATACCCAGTAATGGGATTGCTGGGTCAAATGGAATTTCTATTTCTAAGGCCTTGAGGAATCGCCACAGTGTCTTCCACAATGGTTGAACTAATTTACACTCCCACCAACAGTGTAAAAGTGTTCCTTTTTCTCCACATCCTCTCCAGCATCTGTTGTCTCCAGATTTTTTAATGATCGCCATTCTAACTGGCGTGAGATGGTATCTCAATGTGGTTTTGATTTGCATCTCTCTGATGACCAGTGACGATGAGCATTTTTTCATATGATTGTTGGCCTCATATATGTCTTCTTTCGTAAAGTGTCTGTTCATATCCTTTGCCCACTTTTGAATGGGCTTGTTTGTTTTTTTCCTGTAAATCTGTTTGAGTTCTTTGTAAATTCTGGATATCAGCCCTTTGTCAGATGGGTAAACTGCAAAAATTTTTTCCCATTCTGTTGGTTGCCGATTCACTCTACTCACTGTTTCTTTTGCCGTGCAGAAGCTGTGGAGTTTGATTAGGTCCCATTTGTCTATTTTGGCTGTTGTTGCCAATGCTTTTGGTGTTTTGGACATGAAGTCCTTGCCTACTCCGATGTCCTGGATGGTTTTGCCTAGATTTTCTTCTAGGGTTTTTATGGTGCCAGGTCTTATGTTTAAGTCTTTAATCCATTTGGAGTTAATTTTAGTGTAAGGTGTCAGGAAGGGGTCCAGTTTCTGCTTTCTGCACATGGCTAGCCAGTTTTCCCAACACCATTTATTAAACAGGGAATCCTTTCCCCATTGCTTGTTTTTGTCAGGTTTATCAAAGATTGTATGGTTGTGTTGCCTCCGATGCCTCTGTTTTGTCCCATTGGTCTATGTCTCTGTTTTGGTACCAGTACCATGCTGTTTTGATTACTGTAGCCTTGTAGTATAGTTTGAAATCCGGTAGTGTGATGCCCCCCGCTGTGTTCTTTTTGCTTAGAATTGACTTGGCTATGCGGGCTCTCTTTTGGTTCCATATGAAGTTCATGGTGGTTTTTTTCCAGTTCTGTGAAGAAAGTCAATGGTAGCTTGATGGGGATAGCGTTGATTCTGTAAATTACTTTGGGCAGTATAGCCATTTTCACGATATTAATTCTTCCTAACCATGAACATGGAATGTTTCTCCATCTGTTTGTGTCCTCTCTTATTTCGTTGAGCAGTGGTTTGTAGATTTCCTTGAAGAGGTCCCTTATGTTCCTTGTGAGTTGTATTCCTAGGTATTTTATTCTTTTTGTAGCAATTGTGAATGGTAGTTCGTTCTTGATTTGACTTTCTTTAAGTCTGTTACTGGTGTAGAGGAATGCTTGTGCTTTTTGCACATTGATTTTATATCCTGAGACTTTGCTGAAGTTGCTTATCAGTTTCAGGAGTTTTTGGGCTGAGGCGATGGGGTCTTCTAGGTATACTATCATGTCGTCTGCAAATAGAGACAATTTGGCTTCCACCTTTCCTATTTGAATACCCTTTATTTCTTTTTCTTGCCTGGTTGCTCTGGCTAGAACTTCCAGTACTATATTGAATAGGAGTGGTGAAAGAGGGCATCCTTGTCTAGTGCCCGATTTCAAAGGGAATGCTTCCAGTTTTTGCCCATTCACTATGATATTGGCTGTTGGTTTGTCATAAATAACTTTTATTACTTTGAGATACGTTCCATCGATACCGAGTTTATTGAGGGTTTTTAGCCTAAAGGGCTGTTGAATTTTGTCAGATGCCTTCTCTGCGTCAATTGAGATAATCATGTGGTTTTTGTTTTTGGTTCTGTTTATGTGGTGAATTACGTTTATAGACTTGCGTATGTTGAACCAGCCTTGCATCCCCTGGATAAATTCGACTTGATCATGATGGATAAGTTTTTTGATTTGCTGTTGCAATCGGCTTGCCAATATTTTACTGAAGATTTTTGCATCTATGTTCATCATGGATATTGGCCTGAAGTTTTTTCTTGTTGGGTCTCTGCCGGGTTTTGGTATCAGGATGATATTGGTCTCATAAAATGATTTGGGAAGGATTCCCTCTTTTTGGATTATTTGGAATAGTTTCAGAAGGAATGGTACCAGCTCCTCTTTGTGTGTCTGGTAGAATTCAGCTATGAACCCATCTGGACCTGGGCTTTTTTTTGTGTGGTAGGCTCTTAATTGCTGCGGAGGTTGGGTTTTTTTTAGAGGGCCTTTAAAAAAAAAATCCACTCATCTTACTCATAAGAGAACAAAGGAGTCCTAGAATCTTCCAATTTTTTTAAAAAAAGAAAAAGAAAGAAAAACATAGATGCCTTCAGGCAGCAACTTCCTGAACTCCCTACCCTCATAGTTCCCAAAGTACCTCATCTGTACTTACCCCTGTCCTTTCTTATTGCAATAGAGTATGTTCCCCTCCTCCTGTGAAAGCTAGCCCCTCTGCCTATGCCCCAGGTACTGTGCTTTCCTGCCTCCCCAGGAACCTCATGGTTCATTATGTTCATTGTGATCACTTTCATCTCCTGTATTTTTACCTGCTTTCCTCTCAACTAGGTCCTTTTCATTCACATTTAATCAAACTATGAGTTTTCTAATTTTAAAAACAAAACAAAACCTTCTTCAACTCTTCTAATAATTTCTCTCTCTCTCCTTTGATAGCCAGATTTCTCAGAATAATCTTCTACACTCATGATCTGTGTTTCCTTACCTTCCAGTTATATCTCAGCCACTGAATAAGGAACCTCTCCCTGAAGTCATCAATGACCTCCCTGTAGCTAAATCCAGTAATACTTCTTAGTCTTCATCTTATTGGATCCTCTCAGTAGGATACTGTTAGCAGACCTACTGCTATGAACTTTTTTCCTTTGGCTTCCATGACACTTAACTCTTCTGCTTTTTTTCCCACTTGTGGGTGTTGGTTCTCACCCTCCTTTGACAGGTAATCCTTGTCTATTTGACCTTTTCTTCCTGGGGCCTGGTGCATGCCCTAGAGAATAGTAGGAGATGAGGTCATAGATGTAGGCAGAGACTAGATCATGCAGGACCTTCATGAAATATAATCAGATTATTTTCAGTGCTAATAAAATTTTTATATATGTAATTTCATAAAATTATAAATCATAGTATAATTTTTATTTATATAACTTCTATATATTACTATGAAGGAGCAACAAGCATTGAAAAGTATGATCTCCGTACAAATATGTGGACTCCAGTAGCAAATATGAATGGGAGGAGGCTACAGTTCGGTGTTGCAGTGCTAGATGACAAACTGTATGTGGTTGGAGGAAGAGATGGACTGAAGACATTGAATACTGTAGAATGCTACAACCCCAAAACAAAAACTTGGAGTGTGATGCCACCAATGTCAACACATAGACATGGCCTTGGTAAGTATAACTATGCAGGTTCACTCCTATATCACATAGCGGACTCCCACAGCACATTTACATTCTGTACCAGGCAGAAGACCAGTGTAGCAGCCGCTGAGTCGGCAGCAGGCTCCAAGCATGCCTCACATACTTCAAAGCACAAGCAGTTAAATACATGTGGCAGCAACTAGTGCAGGTGAAAACATGAATATCTAAGGATTTGAATGTAGCATGATGGTCTGAAAGGCCATCTTTTTACATATGTGGTCTGTGTTCACAATTAGTGTTATCTAACCTAATCGAAATTCTTATTTAAAAATCTTTAGCATTATTGTTTTTCATATGTATCCCCTAGTTTTTAAGCAGAAATGAGTTTAAAAACCCAGAAAAAGTTTTAGGTGGCACAGAGAATGTAAGGATAGACTTTTTAATTCTTTTATTCAATAATTCACTGGGAAGACAATTGATTAGCACGTGCATGTGCCGTGCTCTTTGTTCTGGGGTATACAAAGATGAAGAAGATGCTATCCTTACCTTCAACAAACTGACAGCTCATTCTACAATGCATAAAAGAGAATTTAGGGATGTCTCTCTTTTCAGTGAAATAGTTTGATGAGAGTGAAGGAAGTAGGAATAAAGTTAGGGCTTCAAATGTGTACGTATTGCCCAGCTTTTGCTGCATAACAAAGCATTTTTAAACTCGAGGCTTAAAATAACAATTTTTTTTTTAGCTCATGGATCTGTGGGTTAGCTGGGAGGTTCTTCTGGTCTGAGTTGCCTTGGATGATCTCTGCTGAGTTTTCATGAATCTCTGTTGGACTGGCAAGCTGGCTGGATGATCTAGGATGTCTAGTAGTAGGCAGGTTGTCAGCATGGATAACAGAGGCAACCAGGCCACATGCCCTAATCATTCAGCAGGCTGGCCCAGGCTTCCTTCACATGGTGGTAGTCACAGGATTTCAAAGCAGCAAGAGAAGGAAGTTCTAATGCCCAAATGCTTTTCAAGCTTTTGCTTGCATTATGTTTGCTAATATCCCATCACCCAAACAAGTCACATGGGCAAGCATCAATTCAAAGAATTGAGAAATAGACTTCTCCACTTGATGGGCAAAACAACAGAGTCACATTGCAAAAAGGCATGAACTCAGGGAAGAAAGAATTTGTGGCCATGTTGTCAACATACAACAGTTTGGAAAAGGTTTCAGATGGTTGCAGTAAGGAATCTGATAGGTTGTCATAAAAGATGAGGCCGGATGCAGTGGCTCACGCCTGTAATCCTAGCAATTTGGGAGGCCAGCGCAGGAGGATTGCTTGAGCCTAGGAGTTGAGGATCATCCTGGGCACCATAGAAAGAAACAGGCTCTATAAAAAATTTAAAAATTGACTGGGAATTTTAATTTTTTTAATTAAAAAGTTAGGTGGCTTGAGCCTGTAGTCCCAGATACTCAGAAGGCTGAGGAGGGAGAATCATTTGAACCTGGAAGGTCAAGGCTGCAGTGAGCTGTGATCGTGCCACTGCACTCCAACCTGGGCAATAGATCTATCTCACACACACACAAAAGATGGACCAATAGCAGGGAATGTATAGTTGAGTTTAGATAGTATAGTTTGTACAATACTCAATTTATAAATACTAATCACCAGAGTAGAAGCTTCCCCCAAAAAACAATAGACAGTAATGAAAACTCCCTAGGGATGAAGATTGAAATGGGTATGGTGGTGGGTACAGTAAAAGATCAAAGAGGCATGGGTTTCCACTAGTTGTAATTCGTTCTCAATGAAAGATCATCTTAACTTTAAAGATTGATAAGGAAATAAAACCAGAAGGTTAAGGCAAAGACACTGAGAGAAAGAGCTTAAAATTAACTATATGAAATTTAACAAAGTAAACTGTAAAACATTACTCTTGAGTCCATAAAATCGACTATTATATAGGCACAGACTGGGAAAATATAAGTTAAGCATGAATGAGACTTAGAAATTTGGGTTGACCATAAAATCCAGGGTAAATAGAGTAATTCAACTTCGTGCTTCCCTCTCCCCTACGATGGGGAAGAAAATGTAATTCTAACACAAGGTAAATTCTTATGAATATAGTGCATAGAATGCGGTTGCTCATGGTCCAGCTGTTTTGTGCAAGTGACATTGTGCATTGAATGCTGTCATTAGTTCCAGGTGCCATACAAAAGACTTTATTGAACTGTAGCAAGTTGAAAGGAAAATGACCACATAGCTCAAAACTGTCTTCTTTAGGCCCTAATTTAAAATTTTTGTGTCATTTGAAACAGCAATGTTCTTATTAAATTACCTTACATTTAGATAACTGTTATAAATTTGAGCTTATAAAATAAACTTTTTTTTTTTTTTGAGACAGAGTCTTGTTCTGTCACGAGGTTGGAGTGCAGTGGCACAATCTCAGCTTACTGCAACCTCTGCCTTCCGAGTACCTGGCACTACAGGCACATGCCATCATGGCCAGCTAATTTTTATATTTTTAGTAGAGTTGGGGTTTCACCATGTTGGCCAGGATGGTCTCGATCTCTTGACCTCGTGATCTATCCACCTCGGCCTCCCAATGTGCTGGGATTATAGGTTTGAGCTACTGTGCCCGGTCTAAAACAAACTTTTATTTAAGAAACATTTCTTTTATCGCTTTTTATGTGGTAATTATATGAAAATTTCATTCAGAAAAGGATTTCTGCTAAATTTTTTTTGTTGTTGTGGGGGACAGGTTCTTGCTTTGTCACCTAGGCTGGAGTGCAGTAGCACGTTCTTGGTTCACTGCAATCACTACCTTCTGGGCTTAAGCAATCCTCCCACCTCAGCCTCTCTAGTAGTTGGGACTACAGGCATGCGCCATCACAACTGGCTAATTTTTGTATTTTTAGTGGAGACAGGGTTTCACTATGCTACCCAGGCTGGTCTCGAACTCCTGGGCTCAAGCAATCTGCCCACCTCAGCCTCTCAAAGTGCTAAAATTACAGTTGTGAGCCACTACACCCGGCTTAAAATTTCTTTTCAAAGCCATTTTTTAATGTGTTGAATTAGGTAAACCCCTTAAGTTTTCTGCCAGCTCTTTGAAATATTACATATTACATATATATGTATACATGTAAAGTTAGATACATACATATCATAAACATGTATGCAGTATGTGTATATATTATGTATGTATATTTTAATATGTGTATTTATTTGGTTTATAGATATATACACATATAGAATGTATATATGCACATATATACATATAAATAACATGTATACATATATACACATATATGTGTGTTTATGTGTGTATACACACACACACACACACACACATAAATCTCCAAAAGCTAGTACTGGTAGGGCACAATATGTAACAAATGAGTGAAATAATATGTTGATTTGGGTCATGCATGAATGATAAGTATTTTTCTTATCTGGCTGTGACTTCACAAATTAAAATATATCTGTAATACATGGGTTCTTTTGGCCCCCAAGTGACACATATTTTATCTCACTTGGCCATGATCATGTCGCACCTCCTTAAATCCCTCTACCTCAAAGCCATCATGGAGACCATTCTCCATCTCAATCAGAATGAGATCCAAAGTCCTTATAAGAGATAAGACCAGAATCCTTTTCTGCAGTCTCTGACTGCCCTTCATTATCTGGCTCCACACTCTCCCTTACCTCTTAAATTTTCCCCCTTATTCACCCTGCCTAGCCAGACTGGCCACCTTGCTATCCCTCAGACACAGTGAGCATACCTCAGAACCTTTGCACATGCCGTGCCGTTTCCTCTAACTCATCTTCTCTTCCCTGAGTTACCTCCAAGTCTGGTTTCCCAACTTCATTCACATTCCTGCTTAAATGTTACCTGATAGGCTGGGCATGGTGGCTCACGCCTGTAATCCCAGCACTTTGGGAGACCGAGGCAGGTGGCTCATGAGCTCAGGAGATTGAGACCATCCAGGCCAACATGGTGAAACCCCATCTCTACTAAAAATACAAAAATTAGCTGGGCGTGGTGGTGCACACCTGTATTCCCAGCTACTCGGGAGGCTGAGGCAGGAGAATCACTTGAACCCGGGAGGCAGAGGTTGCAGTGAGCTGAGGTCGTGCCACTGCACTCCAGCCTGGGCGACAGAGTGAGACTCCATCTCAAAAGGAAAAAAAAATACCTTATCAGAAAGTCTCCCCTGACTCTCTCTGTCTGTTTCCTGACTATAAGATTTATGAGGGCACAGCCTTATCTCTTATAGTCTATTGAGTATCTGGTACTTTATTTGTTGAATAAATTGACAAATGAATCTAGCTCAGCTCCCTGCTGATGAGGTATATCAATAGATTATGGTATCAAATCTAACTATGGTAAAATCTCATGAATTTGAATTAATAGGGGGGAAGGTATAAAGATACTTTTCCAAATATATCTTAAATCCAAATTATTGAAAAATGGTTTAATTAGTAGCAATGTATGCATCTGGTGCAGTTTTAAAATAATTTTTCACTGTTGTACCTAAAAATATTGCCTCTAAAACTTAATTTTTTTAAGAGACAGGGTCTTACTCTGTCATCAAGGCTAGAGGAATGATTATAGCTCAATGCAACCTGAAACTCTGAGTTCAGGGGATCCTCTCACCTTAGCTAGGACTACAATTGATGCCACCATGCCTGGTCAATTTTTAAAAAAAAATTTTGTAGACATACCAATCTTGCTGTGTTGCCCAGCTGATTTCACAAGAGATCCTTCCACCTTGGCCTCTCAGAGCTCTGGTATTATAGCCTTGAGCAACCATGCCCAGCCTTTAGAACTTTTTTTTTTTTTTTGAGATAGTGTCTCACTCTGTTGCCCAGTTTGGAGTGCAGTGACACAATCTTGGCTTACTGCAACCTCCACCTACAGGGCTCAAGCAATCCTCCTGCTTCAGCCTCCCGAGTAGCTGGGATTACAGGCACCTGCCACCATGCCCAGCTAGTTTTTGTATTTTTAGTAGAGACAGGGTTTCACCATGTTGGCCAGGCTGATCTCTAACTCCTGACCTCAAATGATCCTTGCTCAGACTCCCAAAGCACTGAGATTACAGATGTGAGCCACTGCACCCAGCTAGTCTCTAGAACTTTTTAATACCAGAACTACAGTGCTATTTCAACCCCACCCACCTACTAAGAACAGTGAGGAGGACATATGTCTACATCATACATGTTTATTCAGTTCAATTTGTATGTTTAAGGCTTATTGTACTTATACTTCAATTAAAATATGATTTTTAGGATAGCAGCCAATATGAAGTCGTTGTGTCTCCTTATAGGTGTGGCTGTACTAGAAGGTCCCATGTATGCCGTAGGAGGACATGATGGCTGGAGCTATCTGAACACAGTGGAAAGATGGGATCCTCAGGCTCGCCAGTGGAATTTTGTTGCCACTATGTCTACCCCTAGGAGTACAGTAGGTGTAGCAGTACTAAGTGGAAAGTAAGGAAGTATTTAAAGTTCCATTTAAAATGCAATGCATTACATTTATTAAGCTATATCATTTCTAATTTAAAGATATACATGAGACAATGAATGCTCTCTTTCTGTAATAGTTGTAAATATAAATAGTTCAATGTTAAGTTAGGCTTTCATTTTAATGTGTAGATACTATACATTTCTAGTTAAGTGAATACATTTTGCATTGTATATTAATGTTCAATATTAATAAGTTATACAGTAAAAATCTGGTATAGCTTTAAAAATTTTATTTAATATACTTTAAAAGTATATTATATATTATGTTTAAAAGTATATATGGTATTTTTAAAGTAGTATAGTCGGTTTCTCTAAAAATTCATTCCATCTTTTCTACTGATTTTTCTTTACTTTTACCTCTTTTCTTTCTTATCTTGGAAAACTGGTGAAAACTAGAATGGATTATAAAGAGGTGCTCTCGTGCCTCTTGTCTGCTCTGAATAAATAAATATAGGTAGAGATGTCACTAACAGCTCTCAGTTACTCAGAGAGTAAATAGATCTTTTTTCAGTCCTTTCTTCTTCCTTAAAATGAAGCCGTCTGTGGTTGTTAAAGAAAAGTTATTTGTTGGGTACCTTTTGCTCACTTAGAATGCTTTATCATTGTTTCCAGAAAAAGAAATGAATCAAGGTTAAAATAGAATTAAAATTATTTATAGAATTGTTATTGATTACAAGAAAAAATTTTTTAAAGTGAATTTTTTTCTATTTTAGGACCTAAGATCATGTTTCTTCAGGACCTATCAGTTATGTTCTACTTTTTGATAGTTTTTTTTTAGCACTATTACATGTGATAAGATAGATGGAAATCACTTTTTAGATGTATTTGATCTCCCTGCCCCTCCCGTTTATTTTAGCTAAAGAAATCACTTCAAAATTCATCACTACGTATCTTTCTAAATTCTTTGATAAGAGTCAGCCTCATTAAAGAATCTAGTAAATGAGAAAAAAAGAAAACGAAACAGTATCTTCTTGGTTTTGACCCTTTAGTTTGAACCTTTGGGATTGATTCATTGTGTTAATTTTTGTTCAGCAGCATATTTCTTAGCCCTTATTTCTAATAGAAGACAAAAAAAAACTGCCTTCTCTAAACCTGATTTCCAGACCTACAGTAGCCTAGACTTCTAAGCATAGAAATTTATCTTACTTTCTTACCTTTTCTTACCCTGTAATGAGAAATATTTCAGTCCTTAACCCACCTGAAGTATAATTGAATATAATTCAGAGACAACCTAAGTAATCATATAGAAGCTAAGGATCTCTAATCTACTATTAAGAAATTTGATTTTGAAGCAGGGTGTGGTGGCTCACACCTGTAATCCCAACACTTTGGGAGGCCTAGGCGGGTGGATCACCTAAGGTCGGGAGTTCAAGACCAGCCCAGCCAACATAGAGAAACCCTGTAATACAAAATTAACTGGGCGTGGTGGTGCATGCCTATAATCCCAGCTACTCAGGAGACTGAGGCAGGAGAATCGCTTGAACCCAGGAGGCAGAGGTTGCAGTAAGGTAAGATAGCACCATTGCACTCCAGCCTGGGCAACAAGAGCCCAGGCTCCATCTCAAAAAAAGAGGAAATTTGATTTTGAAAGTATAGTACAGATAAAGAATCTGGAGTAAGTAGAAAGTATGCAGTTGGATGAAAGAAAACCAGTGATACATCTTCTCTTATCATTGCTTTGTGATTTAGAACAAATCATTTCTCTTAGCCTCAATTTTTTTATTTTGTAAAATGAAGAGCCTTGATCTTTGTGGGTTTTGTTATTTTAATTTATTAATTAATTTATTCATTTATTTATTTTGAGGCAGAGTCTGGCTCTGTCACCCAAGCTAGAGTGCAGTGGCACAATCTTGGCTCACTGCAGCCTCCTCCACCTCCTGGGTTCAAGCAATTCCCCTGCTTCAGCCTTTCAAGTAGCTGAGACTACAGGTATGCACCACCATGCCAAACTAATTTCGAGAAGAAATGGGGTTTCATTAGCCAGGCCGGTGTCGAACTCCTGACTTCAGGTGATCCGCCTGCCTCAGATCTCCCAAAGTGCTGGGATTACAGGCGTGAGCCACTGTGCCCAGCCTATTTTAACTTATTTAAAATTTCTTTTTCTTTTCTTTCTTTTTTTTTTTTTTTTTTTTTTTTAAAGACAGAGTCTCACTCTATCTCAGAGGCTAGAGGGCAGTGGGCAATCTCGGCTCACTGCAGCCTCCACCTCCTGGGTTCAAGCAGTTCTCCCTCGTCAGCCTCCCAAGTAGCTGGGATTATAGGCGCCCACCATTACTCCCAGCTGATTTTTGTATTCTTAGTAGAGATGGAGTTTTGCCATGTCAGCCAGGCTAGTCTCGAACTCCTGACCTCAAGTGATCAGCCTACCTTGGCCTCCCAAATCTTAAAATTTTTTAAGTGTTAAAACTTTTCTTCCTATCATTTTTGACAGAAAGAAGCCTTATTTAGATTTCCAATTGCTCAGGCTACCTTTAAGCCACTGGCTGGCAAATATTTTTAGCAGTTGAATCTCTCTTTCAAATGAAATCTTAAAAATACCACAATATTTAAAAGGCAAATGGAAGTTCAAGTTTATTTTAAACTTGTTTAAAATGTATTACAAGTTCAAGATTATCATATTTACTTATTATAAAAATGTGAAGAGTAAGTGCTGAAGAACAGAATACATTTCAAAGAACACTCAGCTTATTTCTGTGTGTTTTGATTGTCCAATAAGAAGAAAATCTTGATTCATAGAGAAGAGGCTGAAATGGTAACAGTTATTTTAACTGCTAGAGTGATTTAATTGGAATTTCAGGAAATTCTTCAGTAAAATTGCCCAAATAGTTTGAAAGTAGTAATTTTTTTTTTCTACGTTGAATCTCAAGCAATATCTGCCAACTACTTGGATTCCTTTTACTTTGGAGACAAGGTCTAGCTCTGTTGCCCAGGCTGGAGTACAGTGACACAATCACGGCTCACTGCAGCCTCAGCCTCCCTCCCAGGCTCAAGCTATCCTCACACCTCAGCCACCAGAGTAGCTGGGACTACAGGAATGCACCACCATGCCTGGCTGATTTAAAGAAAAAATTTTTTTTTTTTTTTTTTTTAGAGAGAAGATCTCACTATGCTGCCCAGGTTGGTCTCGAACACCTGGTCCCAAGTAATTCTCCCATCTTGGCCTACCAATGTGCTGGGATTATAGGTGTGAACAACTGTGCCCAGCCTACTTGCATTTTTGATTATAATTTTAAAAGTCAGGCAAGACCTAAATCTTATTATTAAATATATATAGGTAGTACAATACTTTCACAGGTTGACATAATATTTCTCTTTTTATTGTAATAGACTCTATCGTGGGGAAGAGACATGAATTCTGAGTCTTACATGGCATTTAATTGAGCCAGGTGATATTTGAAAATGAAAAATAATTTTTAAAATTTGAAATTCAAATGAACAATTTTTTAGACTCCCTCAATTTCTTCACAGAATCCTATTCTTAGAACACAGCTTAAAAATCATTGCTTGAGATAATGATTCTTTAGGAAGTGTTACCAATTGATTTTAACCCTCAATATTAGCTGAATATAAACATCGTTTGTACACTTACGATCTCCTATAAGTGCTATTTTCTAGAATAAACACAGAGACAGAATTAATTTTCCTCTGTAAATGTTTATACCATGATTATCATGTACTAGGCAGTGTTCAAAGTACTTTAATCCTATGAAGTAGGGTTTAGAGATGATTAAATTCAGATGGAGGTTAAATAACTTGTCCCTAGTCACAACTACTAAGTGGTAGAACCAGAATTCAAACCCAGAGTCTGGTTCCAGACTGCATGCTCTTAGTCATTGTATTATACCATTCTTCACAGTAAAGACCCAAGAATCCACTGTTCAAGTGGGTAAGATGCTTTAAAGCCTGTTGTGTGTGAGTGTCTGTGGATGTGCACACATGCGTACACACATATGCATGTGCAAATTATTTTAAATTATTGATATTCCCTAATTGTTGAAGCTTTCCCATGTTTTGTGATCCATATTTAGATAACTCTTCTACCAAGTATTAGCTAAAGATAAGAATAATACTAAGAACTAGAACATAAACAAGTTACTAATAGGTAAAAGTTTTTAACAGATAAGTCTTAAGATAAATTTTAATAGATAAGTTTCAAATAAATTTCCATTCTCATACTATTAATATAGTTTAAGTTTGGAACGAGATATTGCTACAGCCATAAGTTGCTGTTTAAGATATGGTCATCTATTATTTAAGAAACAGTTTGAGTAACATAGTGACGTACCTTAATTATGAAATCTGTGTTTAAGTATGTAGATTTACCCAAATATAAATACCTGGAGTTTTAATGGGCAGAAATTTGGCATAGTTAAAATATTGTTTCTTGAGAAATGATCAAAATAATTAAGTATTAACTAAGGCATCTGTAAATTCAAAATGTATGATCTTTTCGATGAGCAACAAAGTAAATTTACTCTTTTAAAAAACTAGTAGAAAAATATTTATAGAGAGCTTCCCAAATAAATAGTAAATACAAAAGGATTTTTACTTAACAAGGAATGCTGTGTTCAAATATTTAAAATATTTTACAAATGTTTTAGGTTCAGAGTAATAGACTATTTCAAATTAGTGCAGTGTATTGATTGATAATAAATTTAAATTGATCTACTAGGTAACATTTAGGTCATTCACATGATAATCTATACCTTTTCTGCAGTAATTTAAATTAATGAAGGATCATTATTCACATGTAACAAATGTTACTTTTTATGCCATTGTGTCAAGCTATACTTTTATTCTCCTATTTCAATATTACAAGTATATTCTACCTGACTGTGTTGACTGTCAAACTGTTCATTACTAAAACTCTGTGTCCTGATTCTGCTTCTTACTGGGTGACTCTGTGCAAGTCTCTTACTCTCCATGAACCCTTGTTTCTTTACCTATGAAACAGGGATTCAAACAGTTTCTTATAGTTATCACTGTAATGATTAAATTAGTACATGTAAAGTCTCTAGCCTATGGTAGGTACTCAGAGAAGATTCGTTTCTTTTGTTGATAATAAAGTCTTAACTATTTAAGAAAAGTGGGCTGGGCATGGTGGCTAATGCCTATAATCCCAGCACTTTGGGAGGCCAAGGCAGGTGGATCACGAGGTCAGGAGATCAAGACCATCCTGGCCAACATGGTGAAACCACATGTCTACAAAAAATGAAAAAAAAAATAGCTGGGCATGGTGGTGCATGCCTGTAGAGAGGCAGGAGAATTGCTTAAACCTAGGAGGCAGAGACTGCAGTAAGACAAGATGTCTCCACCACCCTACAGCCTGGGTGACAGTGCCAGACTCCATCTCAAAAAAAAGAAAAAAGTAAGCCACGGTTTATTTATACACCATATTTTGTCTATTCTAAGACACATATTTTAAAATCTCTAGAATTTCAGTGCACATTACAATCAATGGTGACTTGTCAAAGAGATGGCGGTGGTGAAATAGTTGTCATTGCCTTCACATGCAGTTTTCCTTTTCATATATATACCGTGATATATGATACATACATATGTCAGTAAACACATAGCATATCTTCTTTAATAGCACACACATTAACAGTGTGTTTTATAACTGATGGCACCTTAAATTCAATGAAATAACATTAAGAATAGCCTCTTTGTTCTAGGCATAATAGCACAATTCTTATTTATCATTTCATTTTTTCTTTTTACAGACTTTATGCAGTTGGTGGTCGTGATGGAAGTTCTTGTCTGAAATCAGTAGAATGTTTTGATCCTCATACTAATAAGTGGACACTGTGTGCACAGATGTCAAAAAGGAGAGGTGGTGTAGGAGTGACGACCTGGAACGGACTGCTGTATGCTATAGGGGGGCATGACGCTCCGGCATCCAACTTGACTTCCAGACTCTCAGACTGTGTGGAGAGGTAATTTCCTGTGAAGGAAAACTAGGAACAAAAAATACATATATAAGTCTCTGGTACTTATGTATATTTGGAGAACATGCTGGAGAATTGGAAGGGAAAGTCAGCATTCACAAATGCAAAGCAACTTCACTTTATAAGAACCTGCTCTCACAAGAACTAATACTTCCAGAAAAATAAGTTTTTATTGAGCATGTACTACAGGCAAGGCAGTTTTATTTTATACGGGATACTGGACCTAATAAGAGGAGGAGCTTGATGAATTTTAGGCAGAATGACTTAAGGGCTGTAGGCTAAGTAAAAAGAGAAAAGGATAGTGCCTTTTGATATAATCAAATAAAAAGCTAGTAATAAGGCTTACAAACGTAAGTCCTCCAAACTAGCCTCACAAAACTCAAGTATGGCACCAAGTAGACAGCCAAATAGCAGTGGAAGATTTGGATGTTAGGTCAGGTTCCCATTTATTATGTTTAGTCTAGTGCAAGGAATAGAGAGAATTGAATGGATTTAGGAGGTACAATCAATAGGAGTTTGTCTGAACACTTAAAAGCAGAAAGAAATATTGTTCATACAGGAAACTGAAAGACAGCCATTGTGGCTGGAGGGCAAAGAGTGATGGGGAGAGAGTGGCAGGAAAGGAGGTGGAATGGCGGGGGCAGACTACGTAGACCCCTTAAGGCATTGTTAAGGGCTTCGGATCATAAAGAAAAATAGGAAGTTAATGAGTGCCCATGTGTGATAGAGAGAGAGTGGGTGAGAGAGAGAGAGAGAGAGAGAGTGTGTGTGTGTGTGTGTGTGTGTGTGTGTGTGTTGGATGTGATCAAGTGACCATAAGAAGATAAAAAGTAAATCAAAGTTTGTTGATGATAAAGAGCACCATCTTAGTCTGTTTCCCATTGCTATAACAGAATACCCAGGACTGAGTAATTTATAAAGAAAAGATGTTTCTTTAGCCCACAGTTCTCCAAGCTGGGAAGTTCAAGATTGGGTGGCTGCATCTGGCAGCTTCTGGTGGGGGCCCTGTGCTGTGTGATGACATGTTGGAGAAGTGGAAGGGAAAGTTAGCATTCAAATATGCAAAGCAACTTCACTTACACATCCTGCTCTCACAGGAACTAATCCATTCACACAAGAACTAACCAAGGAGAAAAACATTAATCTATCTTACCAACCTAATCACCTCTTAAAGGCCCTACCTCCCAACACTATACATTGGCAGTTAAATTTCAGCATGAGTTTTGATGGGATGAACCACATCCAAACCATAACAAGTGTTTTCTGTATAATAATAAGCAGACTCGGCTGGTGTTGTTTAAGAAAGCAGAAAAGTTACAACTGCATTTCAGATATATTGAGGAGAAAACAATTCAGACCTATGCTCATTTCCTGTTGCCCAGGAAAGGAATGTGGAAGTGTTTATATACTTTGCCCCATTAATTATGGACTGGGTGTCTTACTACAGTCAGCGGAAAGCTGTTCATTGATACAACAGATATTGGGAGCAATATCAGTCATCTTAGCATGATGTATCTGCTCTTAGCTATACAACTTTGGGCAATTCTAGTTAAGACATCTCATGAAAGGAAAAGAAAGCCCAAAAATGGACAGCTACAATGATTGAGACTGTAAGTCATCTTACGGAGAGCTTAATGCATTGATTTCCCCACATTTTCAGTAGGTAATCAAAGGTCTGAAAGCAGCTTTCAGTATTGATACTAGCTCCTTTGAAGTGTTATACATCTGTTAAGTGGATCTATTAATATAATACTGTAAAAGTTTTCAGAAAAATGTTGATATTCTTCTCTAAAATATGTTCAATTGTATTTGATTTACATAGTAGGTAGTAAGTCCAAAAATAGACCTGAAGAACAAAACTGTTTTTACATAAAATATTTTAAGAATAATGTCAGCTCTGGTTCTAAAATTTTCTTTCAGATATGATCCCAAAACAGACATGTGGACTGCAGTAGCATCAATGAGCATCAGCAGAGATGCAGTGGGGGTCTGTTTACTTGGCGATAAGTTATATGCTGTAGGGGGATATGATGGACAGGCATACCTTAATACCGTGGAGGCTTATGATCCCCAGACAAATGAGTGGACCCAGGTATGCCATTTCATTATCACACTGACTCTCTTTTTATTGAAACTTTTTTTTTTTTTGGTAAAACAGATCTCCTTAATTTTGTCCAATTCTAAAATATATGGCATAAATAGGACAATCACTTCTTGATTAAAGATGAGAAAAAGAGGCAATGTTTAATTTTACAACATAATTAAAATCCACAATTACCTTTGAGAGGTAAGTTAACACTCAGAGAAATTATTAATGATCTGCTACCCACTTGCATGATGAAGTGTTCTAGCCTGATTAAAGCTGATAGGACTACAGGAGGGCTGTAACAATGGGAGGGGAGACTGGAAAATAAAAATAGGGATAATAGTCAGAAAACTCTGAACAACTTCTCCATGCATGAGAAGTGAGTTTTAAATACTCAAGCCATTGATATTTGGGAGCAGATTAAAGTCCTGATAACCTAATAAGGATGGCAACCCTAAATTACACTAAGTAAGAAACCTGATCTGACAGAGGGAATCTTACCCTTCTGTATTTCTGGGAGGGTCTAGCACATCTAAGAATGATCTTTTGATATCTTTGCTTTTATCATCACCAAGAACAGAATCAGGAATTTGTGCTTGTAACACCCAATTCAGTACTTGGTACATAAAAGACAATAAATGTTTAACTAAGGCAAGGTTTTCTTGTATACAAGGACCAATGGTAAGTATTGTCAAGAAAACAGAACTTCTGAGATGCCCCACTGTCATGTAACCTAAGGCCTTGGGTATGTAAGCTCTACATGTGCATGGGGAGAACCCACCACACAAGGCAGTGGGTATTTAGTGTCCCATGGTACAGGCAGTAAGCGACATAGGAAATAAGAGAGAGAAGGTGGTTATGGGGAAAGCTTTAGTGAGAAAGAAGTGGGATTTAAACTAAGTCTTAGTGAATTGATCCAATTCAAAAAGATTGGAAAGTAGAAATTGTGAGAAAATGTGAAAGAAATGTCACCAAAGCAGAATTCTGTAAGACGTACTGAAGTATGGCTGGTTTTAAGGATCTACACTTGAGAGGAGAAAGAGTGCTTATTGGAGGGGAAGACTGGGGTCAGAATGACCCCAATCTGTGAGGCTAAGGTAGGAGGATCACTTGAGGCCAGGAATCCAGACCAGCATGGGTGACAAAGTGAGATGCTGTCTCTACAAAAAAATTTGAAAAATTAGCAAGGTGCAGTGGCATGCACCTGTAGTCCCATCTACTCGGGAGGCTGAGGCGGGAAGATAGCTTGAGCCCAGGAGTTGAGGCTGAAATAACCCATGGTCATAACACTGCAATCCAGCCTGGACGACAGAGAAAGACCCTGTTTCTAATTATATAATAACAATTTTTTAAAAGAATGAGGATGCGTGAAGGCCAAGCTAAAGAGTTGGGTAACAAGAAGCTAGCAGGAACTTTCAACCAAGAGAATGACGCAGTTGGGGTCGCGTAGGTTGGGATGGGGCAGGGGAAGTAAGAGATGGATAAAAGGAAAAATATTTAGAGGATTGCTTCAGTTGAAGGCTTGAAGCATTCACTGTAGGTGGATTCAAGAGTTATTGCCAAGTCCTGTTGATCTTTCTTTATATACACACTCACTGGGTTGAATTGGAAGGTGTGGTCCCTGAAGAACACAGGAAAGGAATGATAAGAGAAGTTCTCAGAAGACAATGGAGTAGAGCAACTAAAGGGAGGAGTAGGAGTTCCAACAGTGTAACAAAGAATGAAGATTTATCATTTGTAAAGTTGTGGGGCCCTCAGAGAATTTGATAGAAGCAGAAGCCAGCACACAGTTTAAAACGTAAACAGAAGAGGCTATGCACAGTGGCTCATGCCTGTAATCCTGGCACTTGGAAGGCCAAGGTGGGAGGATCTCTTGAGGCCAGGAGTTAGTAGACCAGCCTGACCGACATTGAAAATCCTGTCTCTACTAAAAATACAAAAATTAGTGCTCCTGTAGTCCCAGCTACTTGGGAGGCTGAGGCATGAGAATCGCTTGAAACCGGGAGGCAGAGGTTGCAGTGAGCCAAGATCACGCCACTGCCCTCCAGCCTGGGTGACAGAGTAAAACTCCATCTCAAAAAAAAAAAAAGTAAACAGAAGAATAGAGTGTAGGAGCTAGAGAGGCATGCAGTTTTTAAATGATGATGGTAGAAAGTTAGTATTTATTGAGCTCATCTTACAGACCAGGCTCTGTTGTAAGCACTTTACGTTAAAGAATTTAAACTTCAATAACCATATAAAGATGAGTTCTGGTATTTTCCCACTGTACAGGATAAGGAATCTGTCACAGAGCTTAAACAACTGACCCAAGGCCACATAGCAAATAAATGGTGGAATTAGAATTGAAGCCAAGTATTTTTTTTTTTCCCACAATAGAGATGACAAGAGGAAAGAGATTTCAGATACAAGAAAGAAAGTGAAACTGAAGATCATCTTTCTTAGAAAAGGGCAGGAAACAGAATTAAGAGCAAAGAGCGGGGGCCAGGCACAGTGGCTCATGCATGCCTGTAATCCCAGCACTTTGGGAGGCTAAGGCGGGCAGATCACCCTCAGGTCAGGAGTTCGAGACAAGTTTGGCTAACATGGTGAAACCCCATCTCTACTAAAAATACAAAAATTAGCTGGGTGTTGTGGTGTGCATCTGTAAGCAAGAGAATTGCTTGAACCTGGGAGGCAGAGATTGCTGTAAGCCAAGGTCATGCCATCACACTCCAGCCTGGGCAACAGGAGCAAAACTCCATCTCAAAAAAAAAAAAAAAAAAAAAAAAAAGCAGACTGCTCATCCTCAGACTAAAAGGAAAATCTTACCTTCCAAGGCTTGGGAAAAGATGAGAATTTCAGTGCAGAAAGGTACAGGGGATTTTTAAGTGAAGAGAAGGATAGAAAAAAAGGACTTAGATTGTATGGGCTTGATCTTATTTATTAAGTGAGATCACTTCATGGAGGGGAGGAAGGGATAAGATTGAGAGCTAGAGTGAGAGTTACAAGATTTCATTAGAAATTCAATGATTACCTAGTATCAGCTTCCCACTATGGCAAAAATAGTTGTGAATGACATCCAAGGAGCCCAAAAAGAGAAGAATCTCTTTTCCTGACATGTACTTAAGCCCTAAATCCAGTTATATATATATATGATTTAAGCCCTATCAGCCAGTTATCTGAGACTTGTTATCATTTATACTTTATGCTAAATCTCCCTGTATCAAAATTGATAATCTGTGTTCACACACCTATTTTGCTTGCAAGCCACCTGTATTACTATGTTAAAGCACCTAAAAAATGTGAACGCATTATCATAGTATCTGAAAAATAAGTTTTCCTGAGCCAGGCATAGTGGCTCATGCCTGTAATCCCAGAACTTGGGGAGGCCAAAGCAGGTGAACTGCCTAGGCTCAGGAGTTCGAGACCAGCCTGGGCAGTATGGTGAAACCCTGTCTCTACTAAAATACAAAAGTTAGCCAGGTATGGTGGCATGGGCCAGTAGTCCCAGCTACTCAGGAGGCTGAGGCAAGAGAATTGCTTGAACCCAGGAGGCGGAGGTTGCAGTGAGCTGAGATGGGGCCACTGCACTCCAGCCTGAGTGACAGAGGAAGACTCTGTCTCAAAAAAAAAAAAAAAAAAAAAAGCCAAACAAAAAAAATTTTGAAGTTTTCCTTTCAGTGTTCTGACAGATGGACATTTGTATAGGCACTAAAATGAGATAACAAAGTTCTAAACCACTACCCACCTCATTACCAGCCTTACCTCAAAGCAAGAGGTGATTGCACTGTATTTAACAAATTCTCTAAGCTACACTTTCTAGCTGGTTGTTATGACAGTGTCAACTATTCACAATGTAGACACTAAATGTCTTGGGTGATTTGAGAAAAGTTACTAATTACAAACTGACATTTTGATTTGAATGATTTTTGAGGTCAGTTCTATAGTGCTATAGATACGGTTTTAAAATAAGTTATTTGATTGTTACAAGAGACTTACAGTGATTCAGATGGACAACTACTGGGAATTCTCTTACAACTGAAGTCTGACCTGTTTTTAAAATTTACTCATTGGTCTAGGGGGTCAAACTGATTAGGAAGTCATTTGGCATTTAACAAAAATATTTAAGTACATACCTTAACATTTATAAGTACAAAGCAAACTTTCTTAGTACTTTGCTTTATTCACCCCCCATCCATGGTAACATTTTAACTCTCTTGGGTCAAATGAATAGAATTACTGTGCTCAGAGTAATTCTTCAAAAACTATGTTTGTCCACACTCTTATTTATACTATGAATTACCCAGTGTCTAGAGTTCCTGATGTTTAAAAAAGAGGTGAAAGATTTAATAATTGTTCTTTATCCGTAAATTAAGAATACATCCCCTCCCCTAGCAACCCTCCCCCCACCTGTATCTCACTGTCACAGAGCTCATTCACTGAGTTTGTTTCCACTCCTCAGGGAGTTAGATGGGTAGCATTTATTATTTTTTCAGTCTGCTAAAAAGTAGTAGAATAGGTTTAGACTTTTTAGCCATGCACATAAAAGGTAGTCAAAAAATGTGAGGTTACTAATTCTTCTAGAATAAGCAGATCCCCAGGCAGTCAGAGTATTTGTGTACTATCTGAGATAGTGTGACTGTTAGAGGACCTCTCTAGATGACACTTAATCTTTTTTCCATATTAGTTACCGTAAGTGTTCAGCATTTCTTCATATCCATACTGTGCATCATTTTGGCTAAAATAGAGTGTTTCATGTAGATTAATTCTTGAGCTGTTTTTAAAAATCACCCTTAAAGAAGAATGAATGCTATACAATCATGATATACCAAGAACAACTTAGTCTGAAACTTTGCCATGGAGAGTGGTTCTTGGGAAGGGGACCAGACCAGAAACAGCTCGATACAGCAGGTACCAGGGCAGCAAGCCTTTGCCAACAAGTATGAACCGTTTCAATATTTCACAACTGGCTTAGTAGTGCTGACATTTTAACCTACAAACCCAATACATATCTCTGTTTCTTTTTTAGGTTGCTCCACTGTGCCTAGGAAGAGCTGGAGCTTGTGTTGTGACTGTAAAATTATAATTTAGTGCTCTGTTTTCTACATGAAGACACTGTCTTCCTTTATTCATTTAGTACAATTATTATATCAATGGATGCATTTTTGGTAAATGTGCATTGCCACAATCCTGGGCACAAAGTGCCTGATCTCAAAGTGAAGATAGTAAAACGAGAGAGGAAGGAGTGGATGGACCAGGATTAATTCATTTCTTAGTAAATTAAAACCTGCAGCTGGTGGATTGTGAACACACATTCCTGATGTAATATGTGAGGACAAATGCACGGCTCTGGAACGTAACCCAGTGCTAACTGGGGATTTCATTCAGTCAAGCACATCTTACTCACATCCAGATTTATTTTCTTACAGTGAACACACACCAGATGAAACTACTAAAATGTTACTTTTTGTAAGTGTATCATATATGAGTTGCAGTAGTTTGGCTTGTTTGTTTAACCACAACCACTATTTTAATGATATACTAAAGATAACACTATTTAGTTTTTTCAGAGAAATTTGCATTATATGCATGTGGGTTGTGGATTTTGTTTCTAAAATTGGCTTAGTACAGTAAATAAATGCATTAAAGACTTAAAGCAACAATAACCAAATAAAAACTTGACAGGATCTTTGAAGTCTATTTAATATTCATTCCATTACATCTAGACTCACCAAGAACTACATGTTATGATATTAAGTTGAAGTTGAAACATGACGTTTTGCATTAAATTTAGGATATGCAAATTTATGTAGAGAAAATGTTGTATACCCTATAATGTTCTTTCACCTAATTATTTAATTATATGAATTTGTTTTATATTATAAAAGATCTCTTGATTTTGTCTTTTGATATTGACAAAATTATTTGGCTATTCTTATGTTTTCAAGTCTGTATCTGCCTCCCTTGCCTTATTTCTTATGTTTTGCCACAGTTAACCCATTGTGCTTCTTTGTAATCAAACAGTTTGGGGGTGGGGAATGGGCTTACTGAATGTCTAAAAAATAAGTTTAAAGTGTTTGTTACCCCAAGTTTTGTACATTTGTAAACTCTAATTACATATGTAAATGTTATTACTCTCAGTGAATTGTTATTGTTTGCAAAAATGCACTGGGAAGTAACATTTTGTGATAAATCCTGTGAGAGATAAGTCATTGAGATGTCTAAGATGCTTTTTATCTTAACCCCAATTAATGACCTTATGGAAAATAATATTTGCTTATAATTATTCATTGTTCATTGTGAACTAGGAATCAAGGTTTTTGTATGTATCAATGCACTTAATCCTCACAACAACCTTAGGAGGTACTTCTATTATTCCCTTTTTAGAGCTAACGAAATTGAAATACAGAGAAGTTGGCCCCAAGGTTATATATTGCAAGTAAGTGGCAGAGCACGGATTTATACACAGCAGTCTCACTCAGCAGTTTTCACTCTTACTATTTCTGCCACTTGGTAGAAAAAAAAGATTTCATTTTATGTGAAGAATTATTTATTTTAATTTAAAAAAAGAGGGCTTATGCTCTTTAGTAATAAAATTTACCAGTAACAATCAATCAGAACATTTTGGTTCCTTAGTATTTAGGGAAAATTTTTGTTTAAATCTCTTATAGAATTTTAGATCTTTTGCTTTAGAAAAGTAGATGCAATATAATATATTTCAAGTTTTATACATATTAGATGAATTGCATGGTATTTTAGGCAACTTAACTATAAACAAATTCATAAAAACAAGCATTATTGCCAACAAATTAGATGACCTAGATGAAATGGGAAAGTTCCTAGAAACACACCAATTGCCAAAACTGGCTCAAAAGGAAATAAAAAATCCAAACAGGCCTATGACAGGTAAAAAGATTGAACCAGTAATCAAAAATCTCCCAGCAAGAAAAGTCTGGCACTAAATGGGTTTACTGGCAAACTATACCAAACATATAGAGAAGAATTAACACTAATTCTTCTCGAACTCTCCCAAAAAATGGAAGAGAAAGGAGCACTTTGTAACTCATTCTATAAGGCCAGCATTACCTTAACACCAAAGCCAGACAAAGAGCTCACAAGGAAACTATAGACCAATATCCCTTATGAATATAGATGCAAAAAACTTCAAAATACTAGCAGGCCAAATCCAACAGCTTATTAAAATGATCATACACCATGACCAAATGAGATATATCGAAGAAATACAGGGATGGTTCTACATACAAACATCAATCGATGTAATAGAGTGTATTAGTAGAATGCAGGGGAAAAAACAGGATCATCTCAATTGATAAGAAAAAGCATTTGACAAATCAACACCCTTTCATGGTGAAAACACTCCACAAACTAGGAAGAAAAGGAAACTTTCTTAACCTGATAAAGGCATTCATAAAAACCCACAGCTAACAACATAATAGCAAAACATTGAAAGCTTTTCCCCTAATAATGAAAATGCCCGTTTTCCCCACTGTTATTCAATATTGTACTATTAAGTCCTAGCCACAGCAATTATGCAAGAAAAAGAAATAAAATGAATCACAAACAGGAAGAAGTAAAACTACATTTGCAGAAAATGTGGTCCTATATATTAGAAATTACCTAAAGAATCCACGGAATGACTACAGATGATTTTAAAAATTTGGCAATGTTGCAGGATGCAAGATCTAAGTCACACAAAAGTCTAAGAAAAATCTGAGAGGAAATTAAAACAATTTCATTTATAATAACATCAAAAAGAATAAAATACTTAGGAATAAATTTGACCATGAAAATGCAAGGCTTGGGCACTGAAAAGTATAAAACATTGCTGAAAAAAATTAAGATCTAAATAAATGGAAGACTCAACATTAAGGTGGCATTACTCCCAAAGTTAGTCTATAGATTCAACACGATTCCATTCAAATTCTAGTGACCCTTTTATAGTAACCGAAAAGCTGACCCTAAAATTTATATGAGATTGCAAGTTACTGAAGGTACTCAAGCCTATTCAAAACAATCTTGAACAAGAATAAAGGTGAAGGACTCACATTTTCCAATTTCAAAATTTACTGCAAAGCTACTTCAGTCAAAACAGTGTTGTGCTGGTATGAAATACATAAACCAATACAGTAGAATGGAAAGTCCAGAAATAAATTATGTCAATACGCTACGGTCAACTGATTTTTGGCAAGGATTCCAAGACCACTCAGTGAAGAAAGAATAGTGTCTTCAACTAATAGTGCTAAAACAAGTGAATATTCACATGCAAAAGAATGAGGTTGGATCCTTCACACCATGGATAAAAATTAGTTCAAAACAGATCAAAGACCTAAACGTAAGAGCTAAAACTGTAAGACTCTGAGAAGAACATATAGGCATAAATCTTCACGACCTTGGATTTGGCAATGGTTTCTTAGATACTAAAAGCATAAGCAACACCAGCCAAAAAAAAAAGACAAATTAGACTTCATAAAAATTAAAAGCTTTTACATATCAAGGGATACTATAAAGAAAGTGAAAAGACAACCCACAGAATGGGAGAAAATATCTGTAAATCTTACATATCTGGTAAGGAACTAATATCTAGAATATATAAGGAACTCCTATGCTCAACAACAAAAACACAACCCAATTTTAAAGTGGGCAAAGAACTTAAATAACTATTTCTCTAATGAAGATATACAAATGGCCAACAAGCACATGGAAAGATGCTCAATGCCATCAGTCATTATGCAAATTAATGCCACAAGAAGATAACCACTTCACACCCATTAGAATGACTTAAAGAAAGAAAATAGACCTAGGATCTAAACCTGTAGAAAAAAAAAATAGTGAAAAGAAAGTAAACGTTAGAGAGGATGTGGAGAAACTGAAAATCTTCATTCATTGTTGATGGGAATGTTAAATGGTGTAGCCACTGTGGAAAACAGTTTGGCAGTTAATAACTTAAACACAGAATTACCATATGATCCAGCAAGTCTACTCCTGGGCATATACTGAAAAGATCTGAAAACAGGTGTTCAAGCAAAAACTTTCACACAAATTTTCATCACAGCTCTAGACACAATACCCAAAAAAGTGGAAACAACCCAAAAGGCCATCAGCTGATGAATGAATAAAACTGTGGTATCTATACACTGTGCAATAGAATATTCAGCCATAAAGAGAAATGAGGTACTGATACATGCTAAAACATGGATGGCCTTGAGCACATTTTGCCAAGTGAAAGAAGGCAGATACAAAAGGCAATGTATTGCAAGAGTGCATTTATATGAAATAGCCAAAATAGGCAAATCCATGGAGACAGCAGATAAATGGCTGTAAGAGGCTGAGAGAAAGGAGGAGTAGGGTGTGACTGCTAATGAGTAAGGAGTTTCCTTTTAGGGTGATGGAAACGTTCTGGAACTATTTACTGGGGAGAATTGCACAATATGGTGAAGGTACTCAGTGTCACTAATGGTCAATTTTACATACACTTTGCCGTAATTTTTTTTGCCATAATTTTTTAAAAGCTTTATTAGCTACATTATGTTATGATACTTAAATGTCCTAACAAGCATTCTGTACACATCACTAGGATCAAAACTCTGGATTTATATGTATTCAGAAGAGAATTTTTTCAGTGTAATTTGCAAATAAATGAATTTCTAAAAATCTGACAGAAAGGCTCTTGAATCTCCATTTTAACCTAAGAAGGGAGTGAGAAACAATGGCAGCCATGGGGAAAGTTAATGGGGAACTTCCCCAATGCCTGGTACATGGCAGGCATTCCATAAATGTTTTCTAAAAGTTGAAGTAGATACCTTTTGATAAACTCTGTGATATTTGGAATTGTTGATAACTCTTACTGAAAAGCAAATATTCAATAAAATGATATTTAATTTTACTGTGACTAGATAATAAATTCTTGTGTGATAATTTTATTTTTTAACTGGAATAAAAATCAAATGCCATAAAAAATTATAGGCCTCTTTTGGCATTTTCATCTTTCTGACTCTTAAAGAACTTACAAGAATGCACCAACTCTTCCATCAAAGCCTCTGTCCTCATTCCTAAGGCATAGGAGAGTACTGTATCTTCTCTTGGGGCTGAACATCTTGCGAGCCTCTTGAAGAAATGCCGTATTGACTGATGTGGGTTTTGGCATCATCGCTAGACTTCACTGCCACCCTCATTTTCCCCTAGCCCTGGGTAATTATTTGGGCTAACGAGGTACCAATCTAGAGAGCAAAACCAGGGAAGCTTGGGAAGCAAATATAGGCCCTGGATCTTTGCCCAGGCTCAAGCTGGTTCCATTTGACCATATTTCTTTGTGGATAATAAACAACTATATTTAATTGAGGTAATTTCACATAGGTTTGAGGACAGCAAAGATTGCCTGGTGGCCATCAAGAGGACCATCCAGAGCCAAAACTTCTTATCTGTGGAATTCAGAAGTCATTAGACAGCCCTATTATCTAAAGCTGGCAGATAGTACCAGCTTTCTTTACCAAGAATGTATTTAATATAAGTAATTAGAATTTCTATACATCACCAGAATGTGTCAAGTTACTGAGTTACTATGCAACCCTTGCTGACATCAAGGCACCAAAATGTTGAAAATGTAATCATTTACTATGACCTATGTATTTAATGTGATCAAAATTACCCTTAAGCTCCTGCTTAAAGGTCCATAAATACCCTGTTATTAGTCCATTTTCACACTGCTATAAAGAACCCACAATCCCAGCACTTTGGAAGCCTGAGGCAGGAGATCACTTGAGCTCAGGAGTTCGAGATCAGCCTGGGCAACATCTTGAGACCCCTGTCTCTACTAAAAGTACAAAACTTAGCCAGGAATAATCCCAGCTACTTGGGAGGCTGAAGTGGGAACATCACTTCAGCCCAGGAGACAGAGGTTGCAGTGAGCTGACATTGCATCACTGCACTCCAGCCTCAGTGCCAGAGACCTTGTGTCCAAAAAAAACAATAGTTCAAGTTAAATGAGTAATGATTTTCAGGGAAAAGTTCACCTTTGGAAAAAAAAAAAAAGGGGGGAAAAATTTTGTTTTTATTTTGTTTTTAAAATGTAGAGTAAATTTTGGGGTTTGTTTGGTTGGTTGGTTGATTTTGTTTTGAGACCGGGTCTTGCTCTGTCGCCCAAGCTGGAGTATAATGGCCTGATCATAGCTCACTGCATCCTCAACTGTCTAGGCTTAAGCAGTCACCTCAGCCTCAGCCTCAGCCTGTCAGTAGCTGGCACTAGAGGCATGCACCACCAAGTTTGGCTAATTTTTTTTTTTTTCTATTTTTATTTTTTGTAGAGACAGGATCTGTCATTGTTGCCCAGGCTGGTTTTGGACTCCTGGTCTCAAGCGATCCTCCTGCCTCCTCTTCGAAAAGTGATGGGATTATAGGCCTGAGTTACCACATTGGCCTGGAGCAAATTTTGTGGAAGGAGAGAGGTCCCTGCTTAGTGGTAGCTGGAGTGATGAGGTTAGGGAGAAGCTGTCATTCAAAGAGCCATCTCTGTGCAGTGACAAGAATAGCTGTGGTGTGAGAGAACTTCAGAGAAGAAAAAGGTTGGGTAATAAGTTTGGCAAAAGCTGACCTACTTATTTCTGATTCTGTATCAGAAACTCGGCAGCAAAGCAGCAGAGAAGGACTGGGAGAGTGAGTTAATCCAAAAGAGAATCCCTTTATCTCAGAAGCTTTGTGTTCAATAAGGCATTGAGCAAAACAGTAGGGAGACTGAGATCCTATACAACAACAGATGATAAAACAAATGAGGGGAGAGAATGGTAGTTCCTTAAGGCCACGTACAGGGGTATAATTTTGTATTCCCTGCAGCACTTTGCATTTTAACTTGTTATTCACATAATTAGCTTTCACTAATTATACACTGAATATAAATATGAAATAGACTTGGTCTTTGAGGTAAACCATCTCCGAGGTATTGGAGTATGAGTTTATAGTATCATAGATTCTGAAACAGAACAGAAAGAATCCTTGCGGTTTCCTTGTTCACACGTTGGTGGGGGTGGACTAGGAGAGGGGTGGACAGCCAGGGCAAGGAAGTGGGAAAGCCAGGATACCTTCAGAAAGTAGTGAGGGGCCCAGGCTGACTGCAGCGTGGAACATGTGCAGAGGGATGGAGGGCATTATCCGCTAATTTATTGTTTTTAAAATTAATTTTATTGTTAAATAAAGTTTATTTTTCTGCTAGCAGAATAAATAAAACTATTTTTTAAATGCTCATGATGCCTTCTGTCATACATGACTAATGTATATGGATGCTAGATGCAGTGGCTCATACCTGTAATCCCAGCACTCTGGGAGGCCAAGGCGAGAGGATTACTTGAGGCCAGGAAATAGTAGCAAGTACTAGCAAAGAAAATGGTAAGCCAAGGTAAACGTCCAATGATAAGAACGTAACGGAAAGAAGAGAGCACAGGGTGAAAGACTAAGGAATGGGGGCTTGAACTCCACATGTCGGGCCACCCTGAGAAAAGTCTCTAAGAGCCTCTGAGAAAGTCTTCTCTGGGTCTGAAAACAGTTAGGGACTGTCTTAGCTGTGGAGGCACCTCAATGAAATTGAGTTAAAAGTTCATGTTTTATTAAATGCTTTAGACTTGTTCATTTGATTATTTTAATATAGGGAAGTTAAGTCAACTTGATTATGTGACAAACACTGTGCTAAGCATTTCATAAGTATGTTAACTCATTTAGTTTTCACAACAGCTGTATGAAGTAGATATGACTATTCCCAGTTAATGATATGGAAACTAGCTAGTGAATGTCAGAGCCAAATTTCAAAACCAACCACATCTGTATGACCTGAGAGCCGCTTTACAAATCTTTGCATGATTGCTACATGGAGGTGAGTTTAAGTTGTCTACAATACACAGGATGATTCATACTTGATGCCAAGATATGTCCTCACCACATCTGCGGTACATTTTAAGTTTTTACTTTAAATGAGTAGAAACAGGCTATATAATTCTGTCTATTGTGTGCATTAGTGGATACATAGAAAGCTTTCCTAAGTGCCTTTCTATTTTCTTTTTAAATATGTTCTGTGAAAGGACAAAAGAAGGGCATTTTAGAAAGGATGACATAGTTAATGACTTGGGTGCAGAGGACTGTTGCTGTCAATAGAGCAGACAGCAGGGATGCTGAGTCGAGCAGTCATGAATGGAAATGAGAGGATGGGCCATTAGCAGGAAGTCATAAACCCATTATTAGAAGTTTAATGTAATTGAATGGAACCAAATGTTTCACAAGTCCAAGGACTATGAATAGCCACCTAAGGAGGATGCTTCTGCTGCTGTGATGTATCAGACAGGGTCCAATCGGGAGACAGAAACTACATGGTAATCTGAACAGGTAAGATTTTAAATAAATAATCATGTCCCATAACAGAGGATTGGACTCAGAAAGGACAGGCTGGTTATCGGGATCTGAGATTTGCTTTTGCCCTACTGGAGCTAATAAGCTGACCTGTTATGGTTTCATGGATGCTGACAAAAGACGTCCATGGGTTGAAGAAAAAGGATTTTATTGTTGAAGGCACAGAAAGCAATAGGAATATCATATTGGGGTCACTTCCCTGTGCCCCTCAATTCCCACAGGAAGACAGAGGATCCCAGGTGGGAATCCACGGAGCTTGGGAAACCCACTGCTTTTATAGTAAGTGGTAGGCTATCCTGCTCTTTGTCCTCAAGGTTTCTCACTGCAAACACAACCCTGAGAAATGACCCAGGTAAATAGTACTGGGCGGAACGCTCCCAGAACCCACGGCAGATTGCCTCTCCCCTTCCTTCCAAAATGTCTCCAGCACCCTCTACTGACAAAACATAGCACTGTGCCAGCTGGTGAGGGAGAAAAGGGCTCATATCCACATTCACTGGGCAGGTAGTGAAGAATGGGTTTGTAGATGAGAAGCACTAAAACTGGTGTACCAGACACAGCTGAACTGTGATACGGTCCGAAAACAGGGAAAAGGGAGAGTGATTCAATTCATTCTTGTGTGTGTGTGTGTGTGTGTGTGTGTGTATGTGATCGCTGCTATGTTCTCAGAGCTAAGGTGGCTAAAAGACAGGAAAAAAATCTATTCAAAACATAGTATTTAAATAATTTGTAATCCCAGCACTCTGGGAGGCCAAGGAAGGAGGATCACGACGTCAAGAGATCGAGGCCATTCTGGCCAACATGGTGAAACCCTGTCTCTACTAAAAAATGCAAAAATTAGCCGGGTGTGGTGACACACAACCGGTAGTCCCAGCAACCCGGGAGGCAGAAGTTGCAGTGAGCTGAGACTGCGCCACTGCGCTCCAGCCTGGTGACAGAGCGAGACTTTGTCTCAAAAAAGAAAAAAAAATCACTTCCCTTCCTTCATAATAATAATTCTTTTTTAAAAAACTGAGTCTTTCTCTGTCACCCAGACTGGAGGGCAGTGACATGATCTCTGCTCACTGTAACCTCCACATACCAGGCTCAAGCGACTCTCCTGCCTCAGCCTCCCAAGTAGCTGGGAATATAGGCACCCACCACCACATCTGGCTTTTTGTATTTTCAGTAGAGACAGAGTTCATCACGTTAGCCAGGCTGATCTCGAACTCCTGACTTCAGGTGATCAGCCTGACTCAGCCTCCCAAAGTGCTGGGATTACAAGTGTGAGCCACCCTGCCTGGCCCCTTCCTTAATAATACAATTGTAAAGCTATAAGGTAGAGTATAGGAAGGATAGTATCGACAGTGGTGTTGGGAGGACTCCTGGTGACCCAATATGGGGTACTAGAGTCCAAGGGGTGTGAGGAGGGTGTCTTAAAGGGGGGTGGCCTGGCACAGGGTCTCAGACCCCCATCAGAGTAAGGACAGTGTCCACACAGCAAGGCAGCCTGGCCCGAACTGT